TTTTCCCAAGGCAAAGGAGGAAATGAATGTGCCTGACATGACAAAAAAATGGGTGCATGCACACAAATTTGGATCAGACTCCTAGGACTAACAGGCTTAATTCACTGCAAAGAGTACACACGTCCTGAAGTTGCCCTGAAGTTGCTCATAACTTGCCCTAGCAAGATGGTGGCTGGGAGCATAGTGACACTAACAAATCATTTACTAGATTTAGCCACTGGCTGCTTTCCTGGTTCTCAGGAATGAAGGAAGGAATCAGAAGCAAGTTATAAAATAACCTTTGGGCTACAAAGATGATTAAAGACCTGGAGCACATCTCCTGTGGAGACAGGCTGAGGGAGTTGGAGTTGTTCAGCACAGAGAAGGCTTCAGTAGGACCTTATAGCACCTTCCAGAACTTGAGGGGGACCTACAAGAGAGCTGGAGAAGACTTTTTACAGGGCAGGTAGTGACAGGACAAGGTGGGGTGGCTTTAAACTGAAAGAAGGCAGGTTTAGATTCAATATTGGGAAGAAATTCTTTACTATGGCAGTGGTCAGACTATAGAACAGGCTGTCCACAGAAGTTGTGCATGCTCCATCCCTGGCACTGTTCAAGGCCAGGTTGGATGGGGCTTGTGAGCAACTGAGTCTAATGAAAGCTCCCTGCCCAGAGCAGGGAGGGTTGGAACTAGATGATGTTGAAGGTCCCTTCCAACCCAAACCATTCTGTGATTCTGTAGGTGAGTCATACCAAGCTCACAGGCCAGAAGTTTAGCACTGTTAATATAGGGATTATTGGTGTCAAGATATGCTTCCCTCATGCCTCATTTTAAGTTACCCTTTTTATTGCATTGCCTTTGGTTTTCCTGGGCCATTTCCCCAGGAAAGTTTCCCTTGAATATGGTGTCATGGATATGTTAACCCCTGTAAAATAACAAAGATGTGCACAAAGAATTTTAATTTTCTAAGTATTTTATTTATGCAAATATGTATTGAAGTCAACCTTGATATTCTGTTTACAATGTTAATGAAAGTTAGACAGGAAATAATTTGAAAGATATTAATTATCTTAAAGCAAAAGTTAATGCATTCCAGTAAAACTAAGTCCACACTGTATAATTTAGACAGAGTTATATATAAATCCTTTTCCATGCCCTTCATACAGATCAAGAAGAGTGCACAACCTGCATTAACAGACTGAAAATCCTGCAACATTTAGATTCCTCTGCAAATCCTCCTTCAAGGCAAGGCCACAAGGCAAAGCCTGGCTCTTGTCTTTGCTGAAACTCACCACTATGAGATTCAAAAACAAAAAGAGACAGCAGGATCATTAAATCATCCTACCCAATATGGATTGGAAGGAGTCTTTGAACCCTTGTATATTCAATTTCCAGTATTTCATTGTTTGCTAATTTCCCTATAATTCCCACTTTTCCTGCATTATCTCCCAGGATTTCAACACTATTCTCTGAGCTTTTTGCTTCTTACCCTTCACCATGTTTTTTCTTTTCATTTCTTCTGTTCAGTTCATAAACCAAATCATCCCTTTTCTACACTAAATTCTCCACTGAATGTAATAATCCATTAATAGTAATACATTAATCCTGCATTTTCTTCAAACAAATGTCCATAGTAGAAATAATAAAACCACAAAACCCCCTTGACATTTCTCTGGATGCCATCTGTCATTATTCAGCTTATTTGGTTTGCATGTTTTTACATGTTTTTCCATGACACTTTTACTTGGCTCCAGTGCAAGAACCATCTTTTACACAGATTTTTCACAGCAAAGCTTCAGCAATAACTGTATAAAAATATAGCATAGAGTTGTCTATGTGAGCATAAATTTAGTTACAAAGAAGTAAATATACAGCAACTTCTTCAATTTCAAGATAAAATAGCTCAAGAATAGTGTACAGGCTGTTTTTTTTCCAGGAGACAAGTTTGGTTTACTAAATACAAAAGTTAGAACAATCATATTCCATTACCTGCAAAAAGAATAAAAGTTTGGCAAATAGGATCTACAGGGTGTACAAGAGCTTCATTCAAATCTCTACAAACCTATATAAAATGTTTATTTCCCTTTAAAAGTTTTTTAAAGCCAGTCATGAACTGTCTGAGCAATAGAACAGGATGATACTAATTTAACAGTTACTTGGCTATGCCCATTTTCTCCCATATGGATTTTCTACTAACGGATTGATGGAGTAAATAGTTTTCATTGTCTCAGTCTAGACAGTAGTTAGATTAGGATCAAAAAGTTGCCATTTCTCATTTGGTCATATGTCTGTCAGGCATACAGACACCACTTAGCTAACTGTGGTATACAGAGGGTGAAATGCTGTGGAAAAGAAATTTTCTGCATTCAGTGAACAATTGTCACTGTTCATTCAACACAGATGTCTGGAACTTGTTAGTTCTCCCATCACTGGAGCTTGAGGGAAGAAAATAAATAGTCGTAATATTGCAAAATCCTTCAGTTAAATGTAAGAAGGAAAAAAAGAATCTACCATGGGCCAGAGTCAGATATTGCAGGATTCTAATGTGAGCTATTGTATATACTCTCAGGACTTCACCTGTTTCTCAGCCTATGACATGGAAGATTTTGCAAAGGGCTGTTCAACTCTGGGGGTTATCAGATGAATGCAGCAGGCTATGTCCACAAAGCATTAAGTGAACAGTACATCTTCAGCAGAGCAGGTATGGCCCAGTGTGGAAGGCAATGAGTAGCCAAGAGAACATCAACATGTATCTACATCCATGTAAGTACAAGCACATGAGCACACACACAGGAGCAGCCCAAAAATGAAGCAATTTCAGTGTCTGCAGCTTGTAGACATTATTCAAAGAGATAATAGACCCTATCATTAGACAAAACGGCTTAAACACTTAATTCAGAGGAACTGGATGGTCCCTGGAAAGAATCCGTCCTTTTCCAACAAAGATCTCAAACTTTTTGCATGTACAGCTGAGGAAAGTAATTCTAGTATAAGGAGAAAGGATAAGGGTTTACACTACAGGAATCAAAACTGAAATGGGACAGATCACAGAACCACAGAGAGGTTGAGGTTGGGAGGAGCCTCTGGAAGTCCTTTGGTCCAAACTCTCTGCTCAGGCAGGACCATTTAGAGATGGTTGTTCAGGACCAAGTCCAGGTGCATCATGAGTATCTCTGAGGTGGGAGACTGGTGGCCAGCACTCAAGTCAGCCTTGCTGTGAAGAAGTGTTTTCTCAAATTCTGAGAGAATCTCCGGTGTTTCACTTTATGGACCTTCCCTTTTGTTCAGTCACTGGGCACCACTGGCAAGAGCCCAGCTTTGGTCTCTTTGCAGCCCCTTTCAGGTATTCACACACATTAATAAGGTTCCCCTAGGCCTTGTCTTTTCCGGGCTGAACAATCCCAGACCTGTTTAACTGAAATTTTTACACAAGCAGGACTACTTGCCCTACCAGGACCTGCAAATCTCCATTGACAGAAAAAACCCCCGTAGCTGAAGATAGGAAAGACTGTAGCAGGTTTGAATGAAGGAGGGAATGACACTGACATTAAAGTGAGCAAGTTTCACGCCTGCGCTGAAGGAAGGCTGCTGACACAGCAGTGTAATATATGTTATGAAATAATTCATGCTTAAAGAGAGAATGTATTTTATAAGATTGCAAAATCCAAACGAGTCTCTGACCACAAGCAGCCCAGGGACAGATGTCTACTTGGGAATGTCGAAATTCCTGAAGGCGGCAGGAGAACAATACCCCGTTTACCTAAACAGCAATTGTCCAGCCCAGCACAGTGAAAGAAACTCTCATGCATATGCGGGGTTTCCAAAGAAATCGGGGCACCCCTGCCTCAGGCATAATAAACTGCATAAAACAGCCTCGCAGGCAGCGGCACTCGTGAACAGAGGGAGGTCCGATGCTATAGAGGTCGGATCTGTGTTCACCCGGCACCGATCCCCGGCTCGACGCTCTCTTTGGGCTGTGGCGGTTTTGAGGGCCGTATTTTGGTCGCGGAAAAAGATGAAAAAAAAAATCTTTTTGCAATTTTGATAATTTGGCTTTTCGATTGATCATTTATAACAGCAGCAAGGCAGGGGGCGAGCTCTACCCAGGACAGCAACCCGGCAACACGACAGGCGGCACACGTGTTCCTGCTGGAGGAAGGGCGAGGTTTGCTCTTCCAAAGAAGCAGAGTGTGAAAAATGCATGTATTTTATGATTGGCTTTTTGCAAATATTAAAGTGGATATTATACGTGTTGTGTTAGAAAGCAATGCTGTATTAATTCTCTTAAGTACTGTGTTAAATATAGTTTTAGATTAGAAAAAAATGTTAAAATAGAAACGATGCTATGTAGGATACTTTTTTTAAAGAAAGGACTCACAGCAAGATAGCTGCCACAGGACACCTAAATCTTTCAGAGAAAGATAATTTATTGCCCTCTTATCAGAAGAAACTAACTTCTTCCCACCTCAAAGGCGCTGTTAGGATTCGGAGGAAGAAGTTGACGATGACCAGACAGAATCCTATATTTGAATGGAATTTATGCATCATGTATGAAGTGTATGAATATGCAACAAGCTATTGCTTTTAAGGGTTAATCCTTTGTTAACGGGGGGGTCCCTTTTCGGGCTCATGCTGCCCAGAAAAGGTACCTGGACCGTCCGTAACTCTTTGTATCTATTGCCTCATATTGTCCTAATTCAATTTGTCCAAATTATTATTACTGTAATTGTATTACTGTTTTTTTAACCATTTTATTACCATAAAACTTTTAAAATTTTAAAAACAAGTGATTGGCGTTTTTCACACAGAGCACTGATTCAACTGAACGAGTCTCCCCGCTGGGCACATGACAAGAGAATATTCACCCCGCGTTCCGTCACCGCGCTGCGGTGCCACGCTCGCCTCCCGCCCGCCTCCCCGGGCGCCCCTCAGCAGGGCGAACACCCGGAGGTCGCCCCGCCGCCCGCGCCTCCCTCCGCGCCTGCGCCGTGGCGAGAGGTCGGCGCTTCCCCTTCCGGCCGTGCCGCGGCTCTGTCAACATGGCAGCGGCGCTGGGCGGGCGGCCGCGCTGCCTCCTCTGGGCGGCAGGTGACGGGCGGGCGGTGCCGGCTCCACCGGGCTGGGCTGCAGGGCACAGCGGGGAGCAGCGGCGGGGCTGGGCGGCGGGCAGCGCTTGGGCAGGCAACAGTGTAGGGAAGCGCAGGTGGGGGCAGGAGGGAAGGGATGCTGTGAGCTGGCGTGGGTGAGCACCCCGGGTTGGTTCGGACATCACTCACGGAACCCTTTTCCTTCCCCTCGCAGTGGTTGCACATGTCGTGGCCTCAGGTGCGGGTTTCGTGGAGGATCTAGATGAGTCGTAAGTATTGGGGTGTCTTGCCTAATTGCCAAGATATTGTTTGTCATCTTGTGGGGAACATGACCCCCGACTTTGTGCGTGGTGTTCTTGTCGGGAAAGCTACACTGGAAAATACTGTGATTTTTGTAGCAGGAAGGACAGAGAGGTTGTGGCCTGAGATATCATAGAATATTCTCTGTTGGAAGGGGCCCAAAAGGATCACTGGAGTACAATTCCTGTTCCTGCACAGGACTCCCAGAAAGTCACACCATGTGCCTGAGAGTGTTGTCCAAACCCTTCCTGAGCCCTGTCGGGCTTGGTGCTGTGGCCATTTCCCTGGGGAGCCTGTTGCAGAGCCTAAGCACTGGATGGGTGTAAAACGTTTTCCTGATATCCAACCTAAACCTCACCAGCACAGCCTCATGCTGCTCCCTGGAGTCATGCCACTGGCCACCAGAGAGATCAGATACTGCTCCTCTGCTTCCTCCCCTGAGGAGGTTGTACACTCCCATGAGGTCTCTCCTCAGTGTCACCTATTGAGGAGATTCAATTAATGAAGCTGAGGAACATTTTAATTTTTCTTCTTTAAAGCTGTTACTCTAGGTTTTGCCAGAAGTGTTCTTAGGCTTCCTTGCTTGTTCTTTCTTTCTGGAAGGGTAAATACATTGGTGTGTTGGTGCTTGCCCCAGGTAAAAGCTGACTACATTTAACCAAGTTCTTCATTAGAGTTTGCAGCCTGGCTGCCATGAGGGGTTTGGAAAATGAGTCTAAGTGTGTTCATGCGTGGCCAGAAACAAAAAGAGAGAAAGAGGCTGCAGGACCAGTTCATGGCTGCTTGAAGTGCCAGTAATATTTGTGTAAAAATGTGCCTTTATAACAGAATTAGTCCCAAGACTGTGCAGGAGTTGAAGTGGCTGGTCCTGCCATGAGCTTGGCTGTGTAGTGTCACTGTTGGTGTACTGGTTTGCTGTAGCAGTTTGGTAGCTACATAGTTGCTGTTTCCCATGAAAATTACCCAAATGTTTTTTGGGGGGTTTTTTTGGTCAGATTATCAGGTTGATATCAAGTGCTACAAAGTGCAGCATGATTGTTGGACTTGAAAGAGAAGGTGTGACTGGTAGGGAGGAGAAGTTGGCATTAGATGACTGCTTTGGGATAAATTCAGCCAGTTAGAGGTGATGTTTTCATGAGGTTTCAGTCCACAATAAATTGCATCAAAGAGCTAAACTGTCAGGAAACCACTCACATTTTCACAATACTGCTTGTTAATCATAAGATCAGGTGAGATGTAGTGATTTTATGGGTGAGGGGATGGGAACATATGGAAGAAGTTCTCAGGAGAGACACAGCAGTGTCTCTGGTCTTCTGAAACAACAACTGAAGCATGGGAACTGTTTGGACTTGATTTTCAAAGCTTGTTTTTAAAACATGCTCGTATATTCACGGACTGAAGATGCATTCACTTAGCCTATCTGTGCTCCTACATCATGTTCCTGTATCATGTTTCCACATGTGTATGTTTAAATATATTTGCTGTTCTGGAATGAAGAATCACGATTCTGTTGTCATATAACTTTTTAAAGTAACTGATAAAAGGAAATCTTATTTAGGAACACTTGAATTTTTCAGTTACAGAACTATATAGATGAATGTATTTCCATTCAGAATAAGAATTGAAGAATTGTTCAGGCAGGTTTTGTGGGGGTTTTTTTGAGTGTTTCGTAGGTAGCTGGCAAGTAGTGACAGAGGTCAGGACAACAAATTTAAGTGAAAATCAAATTTATTTTGAACAGTTTAAATTTTAGTTTAATTTTGCTCCAAGCCGGGGAGCCGTGACTGCTGAAGTTTCAAGTTTTCCATTTTATAGATGCCAAAACATTATGGACATTCTGCTGTTGCTGGAAGCTTTGTGTTCTTTGGAATTTTAGTGGTTGTAAACAATGGGGACTAGTACAAGGTGCAGGTCCCTTTCCTAAGCTTTCAGGATTTAGGAAAACAAGGAGCAGAGCAGACAGAAGTGCCCAGCTGGGCTGTGGGAGGGGTGCATAAAATGAGCTGTGGTTCCTCTTGGCTTGTGCTGCTCTGATAGCAGATCTGCTGCCTCAGGTCAGTGCTCATACTGTGATGGGTGTGGACTTGTTCTAGTGGCATAATGAAGCAGATAAGTAACCTAAATTAAAAAGGAAGTGTTTTTCTGTCTGTGGGGTGGCTCAAACCAGGATCAGAAGCATCAGAAATGGTGCAAAGGGGAAGCAAGGAAGAGATAGAGTAGTGGGTTGTTTGAAGGCCCTTGGAATTGTGACCTCAGTGTTCAGTTTTGCTTCATGCTGGTTTCTTTTAATTGTTCATGATTAAGTGGGGGCTGAGAGAACATTTGATCATGTAGCTGGGAAGATGTATTGGTTTGAGACAAATAATTTTGATTCAAGAATGTGCAACATTTATGCCGTCTTCCTATCAGTGTGATTGTGTTTCTGTCAGCTGACAGAGGCTTGCACAGAACAGTTAGAAGAGACACTGAAATTTTGTGCCTGGAAAGCTTATTTATAGGGCCTAGAAACAGCATCTTCAGAAAGTGCTTCACTGCTCATTTGTAGAGAGATTTCTGGTGAAATTGTCGAGAAATTTCAGCAGTGTGAAAATGAACTTCCTTAGTATTGTCTGTTAATTTAATCATTGATGTTGGCAAAACTAGAGTGATAGGGTTTTGTTTTGATAGGGTCTTGTTATACTTCAGATTTTAGTTTCTGTGGAAGTTGATTAGAAGAATGTTGAAATTTTTCATTACTATAAAAAGTACAGTATTTTTTATACAATATTAAACTCTGTTGGAAAGCTCAGCCTCCAGATGTTTCATTCTTGCTCTCTTTTCTTTCTGTGTGCTGGCAAGGTAGCAGTCTACCTTCTCAGTACTTTAATGCTCTTTACAATTTGCCATAAGAGTTGTACTGTAGCAGAGGAAGGAGAACATTTAATTGTAAATTCTTCTTATGCAAAGAAAAAGTGATGTGCTAAATTGAAGCACAGCCTAGGATCTTATGATTCAGTAACTGCTTTCTGCCTCTTGCATCATAGCCAATTATTTGGAATTGTTATTGGAAGTTAGCTGTAGCTCTGTTAGACTTCTCAGGAGATGCTGGCCCCTTAGTGGTTCTTTCATTAGCTCTATAGTGCTTGGGGTGGTGAAGTAAATTTTTAGTGAGGTTGTCAACTAAGCAATTTTGTGACTTAAAAATGTTGCTTTCCTTTAGCAGTTCTGTATCATAGTCTGCAAATACCTTTCCTGCTGATGTACAGGCACAGCAGCCTTGGTATGCCATCAATAAAATAGGCTGGAATTTACCAGTGAAATGCTGCAATTCTGAGTTTCAAACACTCAACGCTATAATTAGATTGTATTCATGATTTCTGAATTATTTCTGTCAAACAGCAAGCCAATTATCAGCAGTTGTATTTCTTCAAGACCATTATGGAGTGTTACAGATTCATCTTTAAATGAAATATAATAAATTCTGCCTACTGCTGATGGGCCATTTATAGGCGTGCTGCATATTGGGAACTGACAAGTTGAGCTATAACTTGTATTAATTGGATCATAGGTCCACGCTTATGCATAATTGTATGTAAATATCTCATTTTGCAAGAAGAGTGGTGCAGTTGAAATGTTGTACCATGTATGCCATAGTGTGTGACTTTAGTCCCAGTCCTAGTCACTTACAAAGTCTGTCTTGTAGAAAAATAAACCTCAGGTTAAAGTTCCAGCTAATTTAATTCTCCACACAGAACTAGTCAACTAATGCAGTAATTCATATGATGTTGTAGTGACAACAGTGAAATGTGTAAGCAGCATTTTGGGAGATACCAAAGAACTTTGATTTATCAAGCTTAGTTTTGTATTAGAGATTTTAGAATTCAGTGACAGATTAACAGTTAATAAAACCAGCCAGTTAATTTAAATGCCATTTGTCTAGCATTAAGAAAATTCAGTAGCACCCCTTTATCTCTGGGTTTTATCAATAACTTGATCATTTTTATTCCATTAACTTGATTTCTTGGTTGTGTGCAACTTTAATAGAACTGTAAACTGACACGCCTATAGTAGAATTTTAAAGGAGGTTGAATTAAAATTGCTTTGCATGTTAATATTAAAGATAATTTAGTTTACATTTAGTAAAGCTAAGATTAACAGTTTAAGCCAATACTCAAAGAGTCTGTATTAGTTGGTATATAAAAATACAACCAAATACATTTAATATATATAAATATATTTAATAGATATTAACCAAAAAACCAAATATATTTAATATAACTAAGGCAATTGAAAAATACTTCTTCCCACTAGATTCCACATACTAGTCAAATATCTTCTGTGTGTTTTGGTGTGTGTCCTTATTTCTTGCTGTTTTTCTGTTTTGTTGTTTTGGGTTTTTTTTTTTCTTAGGAAATAGTTAGAGAAACCTAATTGGCACAGCTGTATGTGTAGTGTCAGGGACAGGGGCAATATTACACTAAAAAATAAGCGTCTCCTCTGTTTCTCCACCCTCAAAGAAAGAAACAAACCCGAAATCTTTTATCTATGCCTTTATATTAACCTAGAGAGTAGAGTTTTTCTGTTTCATACATGCATATTTTATATGCATATATATACACATATTTTATATTCAGAAACATAATTTATTGCTTTCATTCCCCTTTCCAGGTTTAAAGAAAACCGTAAAGATGATATTTGGCTTGTAGATGTGAGTATCTCAGAAAAATGGGAAGTTCTGCTGGTGGAAATCAAAAGACAGAATGCACGGTGCTACACACTGTAGTCAGGCTGCTTCATTGCTTGGAAAATTGTTTGTACATGATGCAGAAAAGCTTCATGACAGTGATTCTGACAGGATAGATAAGCAATCTGTCTGCTGTTCAGGGTGAGCCAGGAATAGGCTGAATAGACTGCTGAATAGGCTTCAGTCTATGTTTTGCAGTCCTTTACAAAGGAAAGCAGATTACCTAACACACTCAGGAGGTGATAACCTCTGTTGAAAATTTTTATAGTTCCTTTCATTAAATATATCAGCTGATTTGTGTTCTAGACTTCTGTTAGCACTGAAAGACCAAATATATGAGACCCCTGTTACTTTTCTAAATTGTTTGGAAGGACTCAGTGGCCCTTATTTCAGGGACAAAGAGTTTTTAAAAAGATTGAGTTTGCTCGTGAATGAGGTAACATTTCTTTTCTCACCCAAATATGTACTGTAATTCTCAAAATTCTGTTACTCAGATTAGGGATTTTTTGAGTGGGAAAAACTATATGAGCTACTTCAGAGTTATCAGCAGTGTATAGCAAAACAAAATCCAGCTTTTGTTCAATTGTGACCTTATCTTGTTATACGGAAACATTGATATCTTCTGCCTGTTGACAAATTCATATTTCTGAATAGATTGTTTATATGATCTTTTAACTTTCAAAAAAAATGTTATCATGCAGTCTGTTCCTAAATAAGAAATCATATAGTAGTGCAGCAGTTTAATGTATTCTTTTCAAACTTGTGCATTCATGTTAAAAGTAGGACTAAATCATAAATGCTGCTTGTCATGCTAACCTTGTAACTTGCAATTTAATTAAGACATAAAGAGTACCATGACTGGAAAATAAGTCTTGCTAATAATTTGAGGGTTAATTGTAGAATCAATTTCTACTAATTTTTTTTTTTTTTTTGTGGAATGTATTTGCTTCTCAGTTTTATGCACCTTGGTGTGGCCACTGTAAGAAACTGGAGCCTGTGTGGAATGAAGTGGGCATAGAAATGAGAAACATGGGTTCTCCAGTAAAAGTTGGGAAGATGGATGCAACTTCCTTTTCTAGTAAGTATGGTTTGTTTAGGGGTAATTTCATCACAGCCTCTGTTTTGAAACAAATTTTTTTTCTTGTAGTTGTTCTTCTGTGTCATAGCACAAATACACAAACAGTAATTGTAAAAAAATTTCCTGATTATTTTTCCTTCCAAAAGTGACAACTTGCTGTAGTGTGTGCTTTTTATATGCGCATTTGTTTCTGCTTGAGTAGGGAATTCTTCCTGACAAATGGAAAGTAAAAGCTTCTCAAAGATCTGCTTTTGATATGCCTCTTAGAGTACTGTTATATAAGCACTTTTGTGTGGTGTGTCTCTGGAGAGCATCCAGTTTTAGGTTCCTTCTGTTACTGCTGGAGGAGTGCCCGTGCTCTTGCTCTTACTCATTTCAGGTAATCGGTCCTGAAACTCTTTCACAAAGCCTGCTGAAGTAACTGAATTCATTGCATCACTGATCACTGCTCAGCTGATTTCTTCCCATGTTTCTCTGTAAATGTCTTCTCAAAGAACTAAATTTAGTGCTTTCAGTGCTTTTTTGTTTGCTGATGCCTTTCATATGTATCGACCTTTTCAGAGAAAACCGCAAACCTTCGCTGCTCAGAGAAGTGGTTTGGGTAGACGTGAGAGGATTGTTGAATGCTTAACAGTACTTCCTTTGTGTTTGTGTGCTTCTTTATTGTCAATTTGCTTAAATCTATGGTGAACCAGGAGGATACTTAAAAGAGTAGGTATAGGGAGGAGTAGGGCCCAAGTGAGATCTACATGTAGTAAAATTTTGTAAATACCTGTAGCGTTTTTAGTTAATATTCATTCAACCTGATTATTCAGGTTTGCTGTATTTGCCTAAAATGTTATGCAGAATATTTTTCTCAGTGGTATTCCAGTTTTTCCTGTGCTTAGATATGGGAGAGTTTGGTCTTTTGAGATTAAAATCATTTTGCCTCAAAGACCAATTTATTGTATATATCTTTTTCTATAAAACCAAATAAATATGACTTCATGTTTCATCTTAAAGATATTATTTTCTATGGAAAAGTAAGTCTGGAGAACTAGAAGTTTCAAGTTGGTGCAACCAGGTAACTTCAAAACTGGGAATACATTTCATGGTTCTCTAACTTTCCAGTCATGTATATAAAATTCTAAATCATATAAATTGTATAAAGTCTTACCCTGAAATATTTGTATTTGTCATCCTGTTACTGAAATCTCGGGGTTTATACCCAGAACAGAATTGGTACTATGTTTTTGATATATAATTAATTTTTACTTATATAAAAATCACTAAAAGCTGCAAGAGTTCCTTTGTGCCCTGGAAAAGTTTTTCTTCTCAGATTTGCTACCGGTTTCATAGTGTCTGATAAATCTTTTAAAATAGTTTTTTGCTCTCATTTTGAAAGAGGAAATTTTACATCTGAATACAAAAAACTCAACTCAGCTTAATACCATTGCAGTCTAAAGATTCTCTGAAATCAAAGTAATTCAGTCTTGAAAACATCAGTAGGAAATGCAGCTGCAATGTGTACATGTCACTAGGAAGGAACGTGAGTGGTTTGCTCTGCATAGGAATATGAAGGAGTATGAAAGAGCTGAACTTTGGGAAGCTTGTTGTCAGAGAGCTGAGATCACAGGTGAACATATAAATCATCCAGTAAATGTTACCTCTGGTGGCTCTGTGGAATGAGGATACAGCTCTTGCATCAACAGAGCAGTCACCTGCTGTGGTATCAGTTTAATTTTCAAGGTGTTTGGCCTCAGGAGTCCGCTGTGTGTGAGCAGAGTACAAATACATCACATCTAGGGCTGGCACAATTGCTGCTGTTTGCCTGTACTATATCAATACTAGTATTCCTGATATCAAGAAGTAGAGGTGATGTAAGTAAGTAATTTCCATGAAGATGAGAGAATTTTGGTAATTCCCATGGCTGGAATGTTTAAAAAATTATTAAAAGTTTTCTCTTCTCATTCTCCTAAGCGCACACAAGAGCTGTACAAGGAGAAATAAACTGTTGACAGCTCTTGTGATTAAGTGCTCTAATACACATTTTAATTTATTGTAGTAGAGCTGTAAGAGAAAAGGATCAGAATCAAATTGATCCTCATGTGTATTTCTTAGAACAGTTGTCTTTGATTAGATGCCTGTAGGTGAGCTGCTGGCTTTATTTGTAGTGCTGTGCAATAAGGTACTTGCACTCGATCTAGGTGAACAACCTTGGGGTCAATTTCTAAACTCTTTGCACACAAGGCATCCAACATCTGCTTGCTGTGGCGTGTTTTTGTAGCTTCAGAATGATTTTGTAACAAGCATTGATTCTAGGTGCTTTCTGAGTGCGGGGATTGTTACACAACAGGGAGTTGCACAAGTATTGCCACAATTTTAGACTTATTTAATCCTTTTTTGAGACTGTGTAGTTTAACTTTTGGAAAAAACTGAATTTGGTGGAAAGTATAGTTGAAGGTGGCTGTTGCTATGTCCACAAGTGGAAGGGTGGTTGCAAATTATACTCCTCCAATTGGTAGAAGCAAGATAAGTTTTTAAAAAGATCTGAGGTGAGGAAAAAAGTTCTGCAGTTATTGTATTTTTAATCACTTCAGTAAACATCAGGTAAGTATCTGATTAGAAAGCACCTGCTTCTGGTAAGGTTCAATGATAGTAGACATTTACTTGTGTGGAATATGATTTAAAAACGTTTTGTAATAACTGCAGTATGATTCTGCACTTCTCGTTAGCCATTTCTTTCAAGCATTAGTATTTACAGCTCTTCATCCTCAATGCCTAATTTTTGCCTCTAAATTTTCTGTCAATTGTATGTGCATGTTCACTGCATGCTACTTTTGGTGAAAGCAGACCAAGCATGTCTGTCTAGAGGATTTCTCATGACATTTGAGTTGTGGCACATGAATTGGGAGGCTATCCTGGCACCCTGCAGCACCTCTGAAAGAAGTCTAAAATTTAATGATATAGCTTAATAACAACAAGCTTTTCCTTGTAAGCAAGTAAAGTAATCCATTTTAAACTAAGTGGTATTTTTTTCATTTGTTTTTGTGGCTTGAATAGTAAAACATGTTTAAAGATTAAGGTAGGAGAGAAAAAAGTCTTGGTTCACTTTGGCATGAACTCATTTCTTTCAGGTATTGCATCTGAATTTGGAGTGCGAGGCTATCCAACCATTAAGCTGTAAGTCGATCCTTCCTATTGAATTCCTATCAATGATTTCATGACAAAAAATTAAAAATAGCCCTGTCCATTTAGAAGTTTCAAACCCATGTAATGTATAGTCCAGTATAATGTCACGTTAAATAAAGATTCAGTGGTTCTGAGTACTTTTTACTGTGGACATACTGGGGATTTTAGCGGGTTATTCTTTAAGCAAACAGAATTCCTAATAGATGATAATAAGTCTTGTCAAGTTAGTTTTCTCAAAAAAGGAAGCAGAGATGTTCAGCTTGATAATCTTTAAGGATGAAAATTTTCATGCCATATAGAGGAATTGAAAATTCCTCTGAATTTCCTAAATCTCTATGGATTTAAAGAAAGCCTGTCAGAATTAGTAAAACTGACTTGGATACTTTGCTAATGCAAGCATGCTACATCCCCTCTCAACAGAATACTTTAACCTGTATTATATATATTATGTATATATGTATGCATTATATATATGTATTATATGTATATATATGTATATATATGTATATGTATGTATACATATATGTATTATAATACATATATGTATATATATGTATTATATTATATAGAAACCTGACCAACACTTCACTGAAGCATAATACATAAATTTGAAAGGTTTTGCAGATCATTTGATACATTTCAATTATAAAAATCATTTAAGAAGTGTATATGCTTTCCTTTTACTAGGACTAATCCCTGAGTAGTATAGATGTTGAGTGGGTTGGGTTTGGTTTGCGTGTGGGGTGTTTGATCATTTTAGGGAGGCTTTTTAATATGGTCATAAACAAGTGTTCTATGTGTTCTAAGTGTTCTGAATTATCTGTATGCTTACAAAGTGAGCACTGTGCACTAGAAGAAAGAATTGTGAAAGGATTTTAAGTATTTCAACAAATCAGTGAATCAGATACTGTGTAAATAAGCTTTTATTCCATAATACCATTGTATTGCATTATTGAGTTTTATATTTTATTGACCACTTCTTTGGCTTATCACTGACTGTAAACATGAAGGTTGAGAAATCTTGTATGTACAGATGTAGTTTAGATGATTGCTTTTCTGTTCTTTTTTTTGTCTGTCTAGCTTGAAAGGTGATTTGGCCTACAACTACAGAGGACCTAGAACCAAAGATGATATAATTGAATTTGCTAATAGAGTGGCAGGGTAAGTATACTCTTCTCAGAGACCGGTTCTGCTGACTTCAGACTTATGTGGGACTTTGAGGTGGGCCAAGACTTACTTAAAAAGAGCAAGATATTGAAATTAAAAACTATAACATAACATCCACAATGTACTATATGTGTGGCTGCACGGGAGACTGGTGCTAAGTTAAGATTATTTATTTCTAAGGCCACATTTTCTGGGTGTTGTGCTTACATTCAGAATTTTCTCTCTCAAATGATGGAGACTTTACTGTGGCCTTCCACTGTATAAAGACATCTCCTAAGAAAGACAGTTTTTATCAAGGTCTGTACTGACAGGATAAGGGGAAATGATTTTCAACAGAAAGAGGATAGGTTTAGAAAAAATATTAGGAAGAAATTCTCTACTGTGAGGGTGGCAAGACACTGGAACCAGTTGCACAGAGAAGTTTTGGATGCCCCATCTGTGCAAGTGTTCAAGGCCAGTTTGGGTGGGGCACTGAGCAGCCTGGTCTGGTGAAAGATGTCCCTGCTCAGGGTGGCAGGGTTGGACCAGATGATCTTTAAGGTCCCTTCCAGTCTTGGCCAGTCTGTGATTCTGTCACCAGTAAAAGGCATGCATGTTTACATCGTAGCAGCATTTTGTATTAAGATCTGAATTTCATATTTTAAGTGTCCTGTTTGATGAACCTAATATGTTACTTGGTTGGGGAGCGGGGTGGGAGGGAATGTTCTTTTTTTCTTTTAGTATAAAATATAATAATAATAATTCTTTTAGTAATAAATAGAAAAAACTAAATTAATTTTCTAAATGTTGGAATTTATTTTTTGAAAAACATTACAAAAAACTGTATGACATTTTCTTGTGAATTTTTATGTGTTTGGGTTTTGCAGGTTGCACAAACTGAGATTTTTCTATGTCTTTGTTTCCCTTTCCAGACCTCTCATCAGGCCACTTCCTAGCCAGCATATGTTTGAGCATGTGCAAAAGAGACATCGTGTACTTTTTGTGTATGTTGGTGGTGAATCTCCTTTAAAGGTTTGAACCTTGATTAAATAAAATTACTTCTCTTGGCTATTTAGGGAGTCATTTTAAAAATCTTTCAAAAAACTGAAGTGCATGCTTGTAACAAATTCTTGGGTTTTTTTACATTTATCTTTTACAATCTTATGCCATAAATATGTTTTCAAATTGCTCTTTGAAGATAAAGTATGTGACAAAGCTTTTGTTTGACACATACTAAAAGTTCAGATATTAAAAAAACATTGTTTGTATTTTTTCAGGAAAAATACATTGAGGTTGCTTCAGAACTAATAGTTTATACATACTTTTTTTCTGCCTCAGAAGATGTGCTGCCAGAGGTAAGCTGTTTCCATTCCTACTGCTTCCCCAGAAATGGCATTTTTCTCCTCATCTATGTAATTTTGCTGTTTTGATGGCAGAGAGGTGGCTTTTTACAGTATGTTTGGCTTTGGTAGATATCTGGGTAATTACACTGAAACATGTAATGTTTGACTCTACATGGGAAAATAATGCAACCCAAATTCCAGTCTGTCATCGCTTTGTTTGAATTAATATGACTGAAGAAGGCCAAAATACCTGTTCAGTCATATTAATAAAATTAATCAGAGGATAAGCAGAAATCAGTGTGGTCCACAGAACTTGCTCAAGAAAGTAGATACGTGGATTTTTAGCCAGTGCAAAACTCTTGTTGCTCCCAACAGTCTTTTCACCAAACACTTTTAAAGCTAATTAGGAGGTGTGCAGCATGAATTACTGCTGTTTCCTTAGTTATCAGAAGTAAGTGAAGAGGTAAGTTACTTTCATCTTGTACAGTACAGCTGATCAACAAATTAATCTGCCTCAGGCATCAGCCAGTCCAGTCCACTGGCTGCAGAATTCTCTTGTGGCTTTTTTTAAGGCTTCTGTGATAAGGAAATTGTTTACAGTTCACCACAAGGGTGGAAAAAATTGATGTTACTGTAGTGAGTCTAAGCATTGTTGCTTACTTGTTGTAACAAAATTAAAAGACTTTTTCATTTATTGTTATCTCCAAGTGAGACCTAAGTCTGCCCCATGCCTACTTATATGTGACGTTGATGTCACTTGGTGATTAATGGGGTAACAACTAGCATAATTTGGTTTGTTGTTTTGTGGGGATTTTTTTAGGCAGCTGCATTTTACAACACCATGAGTAGAACTGGCCTCATTACAAATAGTGTATTTGTTAGTTCTCCAGAAGCCTTGTATCAAAAGCTATACCTTAATTTAAATATTGCTATTTGCACTTCAGCTCCAGCTGAGCAAGAAAAATACTGTTCAGCTGTGTAGTGGAAAGAGTAAAAAAGGCTGGAAGTCTTTGAGGTCCTGTGATCACACTGATGTAAGCGGTGAGCTTTTTTCCCCACAGAAGATAATTTCCCACCAGTGTCATTTAAGCTGAAGTAGTGATGGTGTTCAGTATTCTATGGAGAGAAGCAAAAATGTTCAGAAATTTGTGGTTGTGAGTTGTTATGAGCCTTTGCATTACACTGTTCACTGTTAGGCTTTGTTTCATCACCTTAGGTAATACTGTTCCAAGCTTACAGCATCTTTCACAAGCTTTAAGGTGTACACAGATTGATTTGTCCTTCAACGATGTTAAATTAGGTTTTAGGCAAGTGAGAGAACAAAGCATCATCTGGGACTACCTTCTTGATTGTTCATATCAGCTATTATATTGTTTATAAATTACTGCTTTTAACTTTCTTCACTTACAAGAAAGTTAATGCAGAATGACAGAAGGCATGTCATTTGGAAATGATGCTGTCCTTTACCTTTCCAAAACATCAATAAATCAGATGATTCAGATTACATGATCAAAATTAAGCTTATGATGCTGTTCTTTCTTAACCAGAATGCTGTTAAAATTTTAGCTTAGAATTCTAGCAAGCTGTAAGAAATAGATGCAGTATTTTTTTCTATGGCAGTTCACTAAAAACATGAGCTGAGTATAATTTTTTTGAGTTCCAAGAAGAAAGATTTTACAGCTTTTTTTTTAGTATGTTTCTGGCCATCTTAAATACTATGTTTAGCATGGTAATACAGACTTTTGTCTAAATTAGGTCTGTTTGCAGCCCTGTGTGCTGAAGCTTTTTTATATTCCCATCAGTCTGAAGCACAGGAAATAGCCCAGATTTAGTGGCACGTGTTACTGGTGGTACTATTTACTCTGCAAAATTGAGTGTCCATTTAGTGGAGGCAGCAGTATGACAGGTATGCTGACAACAGCACAAATTGGGAACTGAGAGCATGATTGATAAAACCCTCAAGTTACAATTTCCTAGCTAGAGTCCATGTCCAATCCATAAACTGTTCATGCTACTGCAGATCGCAGTAAAAATCACATTTCTTTTATGCTTTGTGAGATCCACCTCTCAAAAATATATTTATGTTGCATTATTTTTAATATACAGAAGCTGATAAATTTATCTTAGTACATGTAGACAGAAAATATTTAGGTATACTTAGAGATTTTCCTCATGAACTACATTTACACGTTTTCAGATGGGGTTTTTTTTGCTTAAAAATCTTTTAATCTTCCATGGATTGATTAAAACCTGACTCTTTCAGTATGTGACATTGCCTGAATTACCTGCTGTGATGGTCTTCAAAGATGGAACTTACTTTGTTTATGATGGTAAGTAAAAGTGGACATTACCTTAAGACAAGATATTTAAAGCATATATGGAGAAACTGGAGGAGTTGGGATTTTTTGAAGGGTATGTAGGGATACTTGGAAATTCTTCAGTTTTAGGATAAATAGCAGCTCTTTCTTGAAGGAAAAGAGATAAAATTTACTAGTTCTTCCACAACAAAATGCAAGGAATTTAGCATTGCAAAGAATTTTGCAATTTTGCGTTTTGCAATGCAAGCAATACTGAAGTTGAAGTGGTGATGTTTGCTTTATGTTTTCAGTAAGATGTAGCTTCCAATATTGCAGTTTTGTCTGCATTAACATACTTAGAAAAGTTACTGCTTCCCTCACTGTACAAATTCACCATATACATAGACTACCTCATTTGTTCAGTGTGTATAAGCTGTAGAAAGGCCACCTGAAACTAGTAGTGTTTTATAGCATTGCTATTTCTACAGTGTGTATATGCAGTACATAAGGCCCGTACACCTGCCACTGCTGTAAAAGTATATCTGTGTATATGTGTGCACATCCATATAAAAGTATTATATTGTGCTCAGACTGTACCATCAGGCATGTTAGAAGCACATACACATACTCAGTTACATTGCATAGCCTGGGCTTGTAGGCACACCACTTACTTTCAAAAGCATCTCCTCTTGATTCAGATTGTTTCAAATGCAAGTTTCCACTTTAAGTTGGAAGGACATCACTCAGAGATCATTCTGCAGGTTTAATTTCTTAGGATAAGTAGTATTCTTTGTGACCTTATAGAATGGATGTACTTGTCTTCCTCTTGAGTTTGTTGTTTCCAAATAAAAATTCACTCTACAGCCTCCATGATTTGCATTTAATTCTTTTGATCTCTTTTAGCTGTTCGGGAGAAGGAAAGCTCGTCAGAGAAACACTTCTTTTGCTCTGTGGCCTGCTTGCTTTTTCCACACCTTCTAAAACAAATACAAAAACTGTAATAATTCAGGCCTTTAATTTACTTTGTAAAAATTTTACTTTTTCATAATGTACCAGAAATATTATTGGAAGTCAGATAATGAAGACGCATTTTAAGAGGCTGGATAAAGTTTTATGTGCAACTGTTAAAACTGGCAGAAATATGAAGACCTTGCTATAAGGAAAAAGTTATAGCAAAATGCACTTCATTGCTCTGACCTTTGTCTTGTTTTTGTTTGGGCTTTTTCCTTCTCTGTAGTAGGGGAAATGGATGCAGATCCATGGGATGTGTTGTGCTTGGAAGTGCTTGCTGCTACCTCACAGCAGATAATTGTTAACCTGAAATTATTGATACTTCAGTCTTTATAATTGGATTTAAGACAAATTATTTATTGTGCATTTTTTCACATGAAGTGCAGCATATATGTATATATGTTTTACTTTTTACTTGTGGTTTAGATCTAATTGATGGTATGTATTAGAATTTAATTCTTAATAGGTTAACACATCTAGGATCTTAAACTAGCCTTCAGTAGTTTGTCAGTCATACATGATTATTTGTTCATTTACATTCACAGTGCTGTTTAATGCATCTGCTTTTTTTTCATGTTTCTGTTTCATTTAAGGACTATCACAAATACTGCTTTCTGTATTTTTGTATGTCTACTTGACAAGTCATGTACACACACCCCTTTAAAAGCAGGGTTTAAACCTGTTACTTTCTGCACTGAATCACAGTTAGCTTCTAATATAGTATCGTTTCCAATCCTTGATTTGGAAAATAAAATTATCAAATCAACTTTTCTTGCTTTTCTACAATATGCTTTTTTGTTCAGTGATTGAAAATAGCTTTAGAAGTTTTAAAACTTGAAATGCCTGTAGAAGTGTGATAATTGATGTAACAAAGGTAAAAGGAAAAATGGAAAAAAATAAGTGATTGTCTCAATAGTACTGAAATAGTAAATCTGATGGCCCATTTCTTAAAAAAATTAATCCTTTTTTTTTTAATGTTAGAGTATGAAGATGGTGATTTGTCATCCTGGATAAACCGAGAAAGATTTCAAGGCTACCTTCATGTCGATGGCTTTACACTGTATGAACTTGGAGATACAGGTAAGATGCTGCTGCTAAACCATTTGACACTATGTACTAAACAGTAAGAAAAGTCAAAAGAATACTAAGAACATGTTTTTAAACTTTAGAAATTAATATCAGATTAGAGTAGATAGTGGCAATCTTTTGTTGATGTTGGACTGACCTGTGACTAGAGGTTTCAAGCACAGTCTACACTAGTCCATTCCTCACAACATAGAAGTTAGTGTGTCTAATCCTGTGATAATCACAAGTAGGATTGTGATTATTAAATTAAAGTCATTAATTTAATTTAATTTAAGAGCACCTTAAATTTTGCATAAGTTTCATATTACCTCTTGGAATACAGGGAATTTTAAAACTAGATTTAGAAGTATCAAATTTAGATTGCCCAGATATGTTGTGTCTAGGGGGTTTAGATATCTTTGAAATAGATGTGGCAAGAAAGGGAGAGGAACATGTGTTGAAGTGGACTTTTCCCAGAAAACTTCAGCTTTCCTTTAGCAAAAGTTCTGCAGGTCAGATGAAAATTTTGCAGCCAGGTGACCTCTGGAAAAGACACATGACTTGTACTGTTCTTAAGGTGTATACACACTGAGGTACCAGTAGAAATACTCTTTAATTGTTGATTTTTCCAGGCCAGGACATCTTATCATCTGTATTCCATTTCAAAATACTTAGATTCAATCAACACTGAGTTCTTTCAGGTTTTAAAGAATATGAAGTATCTATGTTCTTACATGTTTATAAAGCTAATATTGATACACCTACATTTTGAATCGTTATTTACAGAAATGCTGTTGTGAGTTGTTTAAATATAATGTATTTCTTCCTGTTACATTTTTGACTAACAGTTCCTCAAATAACTGAAAAAACCCAACAAAACCCAAAACTTTATTAATACACTGGAGAAGCCATTATTTACTTTAAAGAGCGTTATGTATTAACACATAGTACCTGGAATTTATTTACATAATCTTTTATAGTCTAAAAGGTCATTAGTTGTCTACTGGTGTATTTGTTAGGCTTCATCTTAGGGTGGAAAGAAATGGGGAAAAAATGAGAATTGATGTATGGAAGAAGTGGAATAGGGAGAAGCTACTGCTTTTTCACAAGGAAATACGGGAAAAAATCATAAATTTTGCCCTTAAAACCCTTTAGTATTACTTGAACAAGAGTGACTTTTTATTTTTGAGGGGAATGCTTCCTGTGGCATGGTGATAGGTAGGAGCTGAGCAATTGATGGTCTTGATGGGGGAGGGTTTTGAGTGAATTGTGGCATCTGGAGAGAAATGAAAAATCAGCCCTCTGGAGCCTTGGGTTAATCTGATGACTGACTGCACTGTTAACAACTCTGCTTTCCTAGCTGCAAGGGCTTGATCTGGAGAAACTTTGGGCAGCTTTTTAAACATACTTTTATATCTGATTGACCATACTACTCTTTGGGTTTGGAGATTTTTTTTGTTTTAATCAGAAAAGCTTCACCAAGTAAATCTTGAAGAGGTTGGTATATTCTGGTGTTGACATTTAAGCTTCTCTGACAGAGGGCTCTGAACTAAATTTTGTTTCTGATATCATGAATTCTGGGCTATGCCAGTAAATTTTCCAATTTTTTTTCTAATGCTCACAACAATATGAAAAATAATTGTTATTAAATCTATACAATAGTGATTTAGTCACTTATAATCAGTTTGTAATTGGTGCTATATAATACAGGTCTCCATAGCCTCATATTTAGGTATATGTAAATATGCAGCTTGAGTAGGAAATTAATTTTTATCTGCATTTTCTCCCTTTTGACTTCTTTGTATAGATAGGCTTTTCATGAAGTGGTAGTGGTGTGGCATTGAGCTCCATCTTAATTTATTTTGTGTAGCTTTAAGACCACAGCTTGGTCAGCTTGAAGAGGCTCTTTGGCTCTGAGGCTTTTTTATACTTAAACATTAATTCCTGTCCCTGGAGAGTACCTGATCTTCTAAGTTGACATATTTCCCATTGGAGAATGTGTGTTTCTTTGTAAATGGTTTCAAGAATTTTATTCCTTATTTTAGGAAAACTTGTGGCTATTGCAGTCATTGATGATAAAAACTCTTCAGTGGAACATACCAGGTACAGAATTAAGTATTGGTGACACTATGGGAGAAGTGTGCTGGTATGACATAGGGAAGTTTGGAAGTTGCTTAAATATTGAGAAATATAGGTTAAATGAGTGGGTTCAACTTGTAAATGTTCTGACTTAGTGTACTAATTTTACTTAATTTGTGGCTTGGTTGAAGCTCATGTGAGTTCACTGAGATGGTGGGAGTTCCTGTATCACTTTTTTGCCACTTGTTAATGGGATCACAGGAGCAAATGGTGATCTCATAGCTTTTAAAAGCTGTTGTGTCACCTTTTAAACAAAGACAAAAGTGCTTGAGTTCAGATGACTTTGAGATGAACTCAGTGAGTTTAAACAAATGACTGTACTTCAGTTCACTCACATTGAAAATTAAGCTTGTGATGCTTATGTATTAGTTGTCCGTGGAACTTTAAACAAAGGGATGTTTTTGCTGGGGTTGGAGTTTGCCAAAGAGGCTGAGAGGAACAAGACCTTCCCTCATCCCATTCTGGGTGCATATACAGACTAAAAAAATTCTGTTCAAGTACTGTGCATGCTATTTTCAACGTTTAGGAACTAAGCAAGATGAACAAGGTGTTTTTTTATAGTCCTTTTTGATGATGAGGTATGAGTTGCTGCTTACTGGGGAAATCTCAATGTTTATTGTTTGTATTTAGAAGGAATTTATCTTGGATATCCATGCCAATTTTTTTCCTTTCAGATTAAAGTCTATTATTCAGGAAGTTGCCAGAGATTATCGGGATCACTTTCACAGGTAGGGACTCTGGGACACACATGGGACTCGGATGTTTTAATACTTCTTCTGCATTAATCTTTCTAAGACAGCAGTCACTTTTTTTTCCTAAGTGAAAAATGTTACAGTGTGTGCTTTTATATTTTTATACTGATATTTAATAGGACCATTTCATTAACTGACTGTGTTTGATAATGCTGTGTTCTAGATCATCACTTTTTTTGAATTACATTCCTGAGTGTGTGCTCTCATTTTCAGTTATAGGAAAAATATTAATGGAGAACTTCTGCTGAAACCCACTATTGCGTTTTCTTTTTCATAATTTTATTTGTAACTGCTTCTCTTTCAGGGATTTCCAGTTTGGCCATATGGATGGAAATGATTACATTAATAGTTTATTAATGGAGTAAGTAAATTCTTATTTGAATATTCTTTCTTCAGTTGTATTTGTTACCAAATGTATTTAATTGATAATAATCTTACAGAAAGTTCTTGGCTTTCATGACTTAAAAAAAACCACTGTCATCAGAATTCAACCTGTACTGTAGTATTAATTAATTGTTAAATTAAATTATATAAATACATAATTTAATGTTAGATGTTTAGCTTACTGATAATGCTGATTAACAAAGCTTATCTTTTAGGTCTACTTTGTTAAATTACTGTTAGAGTTGTGAGGCTTTCATTCTTGGTGTATCTTTATGACATGCATAGAAATGCACTTCAGCAGAGAAGCATAGAATACGTGGAAGATGCTGTCTGCACTTGATATGCACATGGTGTATTTTGAAATATATAAATGGTTTAACAAGATGCTTGACAGTTGCCCTTACTATGATCCTTTTCTAAAACATGCATAATTAGAGAGTTGAGTTGCTTGGCATTTGTAGTTCACTACTTCTTCTCCTCTGGCCTTTGGAGGTCTGAAAGACAGGAAAACCAGGAGTCAGTATTATAATTCTGTAAGTTTTCCAAATCCATCTCTCGGGGATCAAAACATTAATTAAGCATGTGTTCATGATCCTTAAAGATTCTAGAAGCTTCATATGGACCCAAAAGCACAAGGTCTGTATTTCTCTAGAATGTCTGTAGATTAACTCCTGCTTTAAAAACAATTCTCTCCATAAAAATTATGTGATTTGATTGAACTAGTGCTTTATAATTGCCAAAAGTGAGACCTCCCTCACTTCCTTAATTGCTTCTCCTGTGCAGGCTCTTATGTCTGTCTGCTGAGCTCTTTCATCCTGTTTATCTGTCAGAAAAGTGTCTGGTTTTTGTCTGAGCAAGTAGGGAAGTTACTTTGCTGATTCAACAATGTGAATGTTATTCCCTTCTACTCTGTTGAGTATCAGCACAGATGTGCAGAGAAGCAGGGAAGGGAGATGAGATACCTGGAGGAAGGAAATTAAGGGAAAAAAGACAGAACTGCCACTTGGAGTGGTAGTGATCTAGTGGCAAGGTCTGTTCAGCTGGTTTGTTTCACTGAATCTGCAAAATGCCTGATTTTATTATTTGTAGTATATGAAAAGTTCTGGTTCAAGTACTCACCGGCTTTTAAGTATTTTCTAAACCCAGTGTATACCTTTCAAGCATGAGTAGGAATTTGCAAAAGAATGCAGCAAATAATGTTCAAAGCAGTGGCTCTTCAGGTGGCTACATGAATAATTCGAGTTTAAAAAAAAAAGTATTGCAGCTGCTTCAGTGTGTCACCAGGTGGCAGCAAGTAGAAAGAGAAAAAATTGGAATAATGAGAAATGTATCACAAAACACTTTTTACTGTGCTAGATGCACATAGGAACAAATTCTGATTTCTTTACAAAGGACAAAATATTATATGATTTCTGGAGATAGACTAAGACCTTGCAAAAAGTACATTTATGAACTTGACTGTTACTCCATTAGTAGACATTATAATTCTTCTGTCTTTTCAGCAGTATATGAACATGCTTTTGTTGGATTAGAAATGGTACATTTGCAACCATGCACAAAAGAAGAAATCAGAATATTATGTATTTTAATTAAAATACATAATTTTGCCTAAAATTTTACTTAAAAATGCATTTCAGTATTTTACTGAAAGCAAAGATGCAGCTTTTTATAAGCTAAGGTGTGTAATATCACTGTCAGCTATGTAGAACTCTCCTCTGCTCTTGAAAGTAACACATTAAATGTGCTTTTGTGAACTTCTGTATAGCATAAAGAATCTGTACATGGAGGTTACCTTTCAGCTGCTCTACCCAATTCCAAGAACATCAGTTATCAGACTGTTAAATGCAACAGAAGCACTGCATCTAATTAATAAAACTTGTTCTGTTTTGCTGGAAGGACATATTTTGGCAGGAATTGGGAACTTGTTACCAGATGCTTGCAAAAGCAGTGACTTGGTTTGAGTGCCTTCTACTTAGATTTCTTTTTTGTCCCTAGTAAGAAGTGAATAAAAATTTCAAGGTGAAATGTTGTATTTATTGACTCTTATGTTGCAGATTGCCTTGGTGTACAAAGTGGTGTTATTTGGGTTTTTTTTCTAAAGTTTCATTTAAAGGATGGCATTATTTTTCTATCCCTGTAATTGCCCTTACAGTTTTTGGGGTGTCACCATGATTTCAGCTTCAGTACTGGAAAGAGAATCTGCACCTTAAATCTTTAAGCATTCAGCTTTCTAGAAGTTCAGAAAATTGGCATATATTAATAAACTTTTTCACTTTTAGGTTTGCATTTGAATTTAAATCAAAACCAAAAGCCCCACCTAAAATGTGAGAGAAAATTTAGGATAATTTCAGTGACTCCGAAGAAGAATGGACATCTTGAATAAATAACCAGTATTTTCATTAAATAACTTACTATGAATTGATAGCCACAGATAAGACTGAAATCATCATCAATTTTACATGTAGTACATGCAAATGGATGGGGCACATTAGACAAGGGTAAAAAGGTAGAAAAAGGAGGTTTGCATTGCTTCTGCTGTGGAGGAAATACTTGAATTCATTACTGACAGAATTATAGAAAATTGATAAAGACTACAGGAGATCTTAAACTTGTGTAATATATTTAAATCTTTCTTTTTGAACAGTGTACTTTTGCAGTATTAAAATTTCTTAACCTGATCTTATTTTGAATTTAGTGCTAAAGCAAGCAGGAGATTAAACTGGTTTGTGGCCAGAGATAATGTCTAACATTTTCTTCTTTCCGCTTGTGATGTATGTGCACATGAAAGTTAACTGCTGAGTAATAATTCTTTAAAAACTCTGTTCCTCATAAACCATATCTAAAAGAGCTGTAGAAAAGCTATGCTTGGCATGGTTTCTTCTTTCAACTGGACCAGCAGATGTTGATTGGTAAAGGTGATCATTTAGACAATGATTGTGTGGGATTAAATTTTTGAGTTACACTTCTGCCTTTGTTAACTTAAATACTTAATGTATTTTGTATACAAGGCTGCTATTTGTGATCTCTTACTATTTGCAAAGTCATAAGGTACCTGATTTTCTGTTGCTTTGGGTATGTAAAATGCTGTAAGCTTCAATAGTGTCACTGACAGAGATGTGAAGGAAAACAATATTAGTGAGAAATGCGCCCATACCATTCATGTCCATACCATGCTATACCATACCTTTTCTCTTGCTTTCTTGTTTTTAAAGAATTTCTACAAAGAGCACATATGAAGATTAATAGATTACCTTTTGAAATGATGTAGGGATTACTTGAATTGGAATATTTTATATGGTAGTTGTTTAAATAGATAAACTGTCTCTTTTATGTTTCCAGTGACTTGACAATCCCTACTATTGTTGTATTGAATACCTCCAATCAGCAATATTTTCTACCACATAGGCACATTGAGAGCACAGAAGACATGGTTCAATTTATTAACAATATCCTGGATGGTACAGCTGAAGTAAGTCTTCATAGTGGCTTGGAATATATTGGTTAATGTTTATTTCCTTAGATGCTAAAATAAGGAAAAAAATTTGTTACTCTGATATTTATGTGTGTGTTTAATATTCCTGTCCTGTCTTACTGTCTTGGGTGCTGTCACTGAATATGTGATTGTAAATTCTGCAGTCATGCTCTTACATGTTGTACAAAGCAAGCTTTCTTTTGTTTATAGCATAATGGTAGACAGCTTCTTTTGATATTCTTTTTGCTGGTGCAGTTATAAATGGAGAGATTTTTATTCATCTCCTGGTTTGCATTAAATGCATTTGTTTAAAATTTTTAATGATAGTGCTTAATTGAACTGCACCTTTTCTTTTGGGTGGAAAATTAATAAATCAAATAGCTGGAGGAATTACAACTTCAGAGTCAAAAAGCCAGTATTATACTTGCTTTGGATGTTAGAAATGGACACAAGCTTACTCCTCTCTGCTCTAAAACTAAAAAAGAGCTGTCGTTTGTTAAAACAGCCAAGTTAATTGGAATTGATGACTTGGATATTTTTGGGTATTTATTCCCTCAGTGTACTGTAAGTTGAACAGAAATCTGTGTTGTGTGGATGAGGAAAGAGGTCATGGAGCAGAACTTTCATTTGTGCTTCTGGGGAAAAAAGGTTTTGCCATGAAGGGCAACTGATAGTTAATAATTTGGCTGCCTCCTGGGAGAAGCCTGGTTTTGGTTTAAACCCCAATTGGCTGTATATTGAGTGCTTCCTGTGTTAGCTGAATCCCACTTTACTTCATGCCGGCAGTTTTAGGTCATTGGCTGGTAATGGCAAATAATGCAGAAGATATTTGTCATATGGGGTTTATTTCTGTTTATTTAATCTGCCTGGTTTTTGTAGAACATGGTATAGGTGGATTTATGTGCTGTTCAGGACTTTACTGGCCATGCTTTCCATTGCAGTGTGAGGGGTATTGCTATAACTTGATGGTTCTTTATTCTTGAGTTCTCGCTTTTTTAATGGTTTTTAAGTGCATTGAGTTATCAGCATCAATTAGACTCTAATTGTATGTCTCTTTCTGGTTGAAACAGCAAATGTAATTGGTTTCTGTCTGATTGGGTTTTTTTACTTAGAGAAGAATCATTTGTGATGCCTTGTGTTTGTTGCTGTATTGTCAGTTAGGTCTTTCTATCTTTTGTTTGCAGTATCTCAGCTAGAGTGATTAAGGTCAGTCTAAATTCACATCTCTGTACAATACAAAAATACAAAAATGACTTCATTTAAGCTGTCTATATTTAAGGTGTCTGTAGACATAAAATTGCACTACTTTGGCTGCATTCTCTGCCCAAGAAATTGTGCAGCTCTTGAGGAATGAGAGTCTTCAAAGTATGCTGGTAAACAACTAATAGGATGCAGACTTTCTGAACCACAGAGAAGTTTCTGAGCAGTCTGGCTTTCCAACTTCTCTTCCTTGGGAAGTTTGGATTATTCACCTGGATGATACTGTTATTCTCTAAGACTCTGTAGGTAACTTTTTGCAAGTCATCTTTGTGGACTTCTTTTGCTGTTTGGGGGGTTTTTGGTCAGATCATGTGCTGATGAGTTGACTTCCAAATATGAGTTTGTTTCTCTGGCTACCAAGGAAGGTGAAAACCAGTCCTGCTGAGCAGAAAGACTACCTTCTGGTTCATGTAGTTATTTTGAACACTGCTGAATTAGGGGGCAGTGTAGGTATAGCCTGTCATTGCTTGACACAGGTTTTATTTATTACACGTTCATATCTTCTCTTTGCTTAGTTCTTAGATGTTTCTAACTGTGCTGTCGTAATCTATAAGTGGATATTCCACATATGCAGGAAAGTTCAGAAGAACTCTGCAGTTCTACCATTGTTACATGGGACAATTGCTAGTTTTTGTTAGTGTTTCTTTATCGTAGGAGAGAGTGTCAGCCCATTGTCCAAGTTGGCACTGATTGTTTAAAACAATTGTGAGAGACCTTTTCATGAGATTGCTGAATAATCTTTGTCCAAGTTTGCCAAGTGGGAGTGTCTGGGCATCATGAGATATAAGAATAATTACTTTTCATTTCCTTCTAAAGGGACTTAAGATTGCAAGGTCTGAAGAATGAACTTTTGGAATCATAACTGAAAAGTGTCAACAGTTTTGACATGGTTCCATTTGAAATTTCAGGCACAGGGTGGTGATGGACTTCTGCAACGAATCAAGAGAATAATCTATGATGCCAAGTCTACTATAGTGGTAAGTTTTATTTTTCATTGAATTAGATGGTGCCCTTGTCAGTCAGGATACAAACACTTCCATAGGGTTTTAAAAATATTTTTTATATGAGTTGTTTTTATTGTATATATTGTGTATGTATTATAGGTATATGTATAGGTTTAACCCAACTTCATTAAAGTTTTTAATAACATGTGTGATAGATAAATATTCATAACATATCTTAGTTTCTTCATTTTTCACTGCTTTTCTGTATGCCTGACATGTATTTTAAGGGATAGAACAGAGAGAATTCAAGGTCTTTTCTTTGACCCTTTTGACATCCTTACCTGAAACTGGATACCACTTCACTGTTCTAAGGAATGTTGCATTTTTGTTTAATTACTTAGAGTGTAAGGGATTAAATACTACTGTTTGTGTAGTTTTAAAGCAAACATTTTTACTATATTTCTCATAAGTTAATTATGCTTAACAAAATTTTGTTGGGAAGATGTACACAAATCCATTTCTTTTCTTCTCCTATGCAAGCAAATAAACCTATGCTGTGAATTTAAGTTGAAATTCACTTGCTTCTAAATGAGTGTCTTCCAAACTTCTGTGAAGGTAAAGTGTTTAGCCACCAGTTTCTGAAAACATTGGTCCTTCTTCCTGTGCCATTAAGCTACTCCTCAACAGTAAGCTCTCTAGAATTTTTCTGCAGACTAATTTTTGACAAGAAGACACAATTAAGAGTTGAAACTTTTTTCTTCAAAGTGGATTTTAACGCCCTTAGAACAGTTGTTTCTAAAACTTCAAAGAATGCATAGGATATGCAGTTGGCATGTAAATATTAGCTATCCCAATGCAATATTGTAATACTGAATTTGTGTCATTTTTTATGAACTTATAGTAGAAATTGCTGAAGTTGAGGGCTCCTTGTCATTTTTACAGAAGAAAGCAGACAAACCTTATAAAAAACCCCAGAAAGCAACAGCAGTAATAAAACCCAAAACCCAAACCATACAAGCAGAAAAATCAAAATAACGCATCCATTAAGATGAGAGGACACAGTCTTGAGTTGTGCCAGGGAAGATTTAGGTTGGACGTTAGGAAGAGGTTGTTAACAGAAAGGATGATTGGGCATTGGAATGGGCTGCCTAGGGATGTGATGGGGCTCACCATCCCTGAAGGTGTTTAATAAAAGACTGGATGTGGCACTTGGTGCTGTGCTCTTGTTGGTGATGTTTTGTCATAGGTTGGACTTGATGATCTGAAAGGTCTTTTCCAACCTAGTTGGTTCCGTGATCCCTCTAAAAAAACACTGATTTTAATTTTGGATGTTTTTTGAATAAATACACAGAGTGATAAGAGAAGTAATGCAGTAACTTTGTATATTCACTGAAAGTGGTTTTTACTTTCTATTTCAACAGTCTGTGTTCAAGAGTTCACCACTGCTGGGATGCTTTCTCTTTGGGTTACCCCTGGGGGTCATCAGCATCATGTGTTATGGAATCTGCACAGCTGATACAGAGGGAGAGGTGTTTGAGCATGAGGGAGCCAAAAAGGAAAGTGGTGATCGAGAGCTCACAGATGAAGGCAGTGAGGAAGAACAAGAGGAGGAAAAGAATGGAAAATACACAGAACTTTCAGATGGAGAGCTTAAACAGAAAGACATTATGGAAAAGAAAAAAGACTAACTTGTTTAGCAAGAGAATTCTCTAGAATTTCCAAATAGACTTATTTATTGGCGGTTGTCATTTATTGGTTATCTTCATGAAAGAGGATCGTTTTATCTGCATAATGGTAGTTTTGACTTGCATGTATTCACATTTTCTCAGAAATTGACAGAAAAAAAATGGATGTTCTCTTAATTGTCCTTAGTAGATTAACAAAGAGCAATTTAAACTGAAGAAATTTTCAGATACAGTTCTATACCATTTTTGTAAGAGTTTTAAATTGTTCATTTCCAAAACAGAGATAATGTTACTTGACCTTACTGTACGTGATGAACTGCTATTAATATAGCCCAGCTATGCACTGAATCATATAAAATTAAAGCTGAAAACAAGGAAAAGTTTAGAGAGCTGTAAAGTGTTTTAGAGCCTGATAGCTGAAGACAACTTAAAAGTTTCCTAAGAAGTCACATGTTCTACCTGTTGCACGTTAGTATGGGAAAACAAAACCAAAACCAAAACAACAAACTTTTCTATTTCCTCAAATTAAATGTAAATTTTTGGGAATTGGAGGACCGTTCTGCCATAGCAGTCAAGAATGTTTACTAGATACAGAATATGGGAATTATATGCTGTTTATTAGTGCTTTAGCAGCTAAAAATATTGGAAAATTATGTTAAAAACCTTTTAGAACATGATTGCCTGGTAATTACTTTCTGTGAGTGCTTGCACACTTAGAGTGCAAAAGCTCTGTAAGATTTCTGAATCCACAGCACAGCTTGATACAGGAAGACATCAATATGAACACCTTCTGACTATTTGTATAATTCTCTAATGACAAGCTTTATGAATGGTGTTTATTTATTTTACAGTGTGTACTTGAGATTGTTATGTATCTTTGAGATAGGTAGTTTTGTTTGAGACTGTTACCTTCTCTGTAGGAGGGAGTTAATGAAGCTTAATATTAACATTGGTAAAGATTGATCAGTATAAAGCATGTTTGTTACCTGTTTCATCATAAAAGCTACTTTTAATACAAACCTGTGACTGCAAAAAGGACTAATTTGTGTCCAGGGCTAAAACTCTCCAATGGTAAGCTATAAAGCAGCCTTTGGCACCAATACCTTGAAAAGTACAAAAGCGAAACTTATATTATTCCACCTCAAACTATTCATGCTGGGTTTTTTCATTTTATTTCTCTTTTTTTTTTTTAAGGGTATATTACTGCATAACTCAAAATATTATGTCCTCCTTATAAGGCAGCTTGATCACATAAGAAATTGCTGTTTAGTGCTACAGCACTAAATTAAGGAATTTTAAGTAGTAACCATGAGTAAGTTTAAATAGACAAGTTCTATGTTTGAGTAAATTTGATAATGCTGTAGAATTACAACCAGGGAAAATGTATTATATTCTTCTTCCCTGTGGGAAAGAAACTTGTTTCTTCTATTTAAGTAACTTGGTAACAGCTGGCTTCAGGTTGCCATGCAGAGTACCTTAAGTAGATCTCTGACTTGAAAGATTTTATCAAACAGAGGTTTGATAAAATCAAAGAGGTTATCAAACAGTATAAACAACATGTAAAGAGATTAGGAATTAAAAAAAAAAAAATTCCATGTCTGATTATGAATACAAACCTTTTCCTTTTTGAAGGAAAGATTATAAGTGTGGTCATAGAAACTGAGTAGCAGGTATCATATATGGTTTCTTTCCCATTTTTTATATTTTCTCTGTTTTCTTTCTATGAATTGCCTTTTTTTTCATTTTTCTCATTATAGCCAGTTGTACATAGTGACCTTAGTTTTTTTCCTTTTTGTTGAGGTTTTATTTTTTTGGTAGAACCTTTAGGAGGTGTAGGTTTAGCATATACATGAGGAATAGGTGCTTAAAAATGTATTTAGAAAGGGGTATTTTCTTTAATGGCATTGAGCTCTGAACAATTTATTGAAAAAAATTTTAAAAATCACTTAATGAAAAACTTGTAAATTTCTTTGGACTTCTGCACAACTCGGTGCTGGTAAGTCAAAATGTAGGACTATTAAGGCAGTAGTATCTTTTCTTTGTCTCTTTTCTTAAGATTTCAGTACAGATCAGTTGCATATTTAATGTTGGCTCAGGCTGGAAACCTGCAGCATTTGACTTAATAAAAAAACCTGACGTGGTCACTGGAACCGTGCTGTTCTTTCTCTGGAGTGTAAGGAAAAGAAAACAAATGCTTGAGTTCTGCTGCTGAACTGTTTCAACGTGGAGCCTTCTTTTTTTGTGGTTATTTTTGTTTGTGTTTATAGTCAGTAGTAGCCAGTTGACTAGCTGGGAAGTATTCTGAGATGTGGACCTGAATAATGATAAATACTGTGGTAGAAATGGATCACACTGGGATCTGTTCAAACTGTAGCACTTAATAGCTGGAGTTAGGAGGAAAGCCTGCGTGTCAGTCACTTCTGAACTCTAATATCTATCAGATGTGTACTGAACTGTTGAAAATTAGACTTGAAATGTACTGCTGTTTTCATCAAATCCTTCCCCAAGCTACATTGAACAAGTCGTGGGGAGAAAAAAAGGGGGACAGGTCATATACTGGGTGTCAGAAGTGATGTGAAATTAAGGTGTTTGCTGTGGTCACTCAAGTAATCTAGAATGCTGTCTGAGGAGGGGCATTTTATTTCTTTTCTTCAGTCTCTAGAGGTTTCTTAAAGCAACTTCACTGTAATAACTTTGGATTCATAAAATAATGCTGCTTTTTTAAGTCAAGTGTAAGCCTTTTGTTTTTCTGTAATAAAAAGGACATAAAAGAGCTTGTTTCCATTGGATTAATTTACAGTGTCAAGCTTAGATGTTACATGTTGTATAGGAGGCTGTTTCCTGGGATGTTTACACTTTAGGCCCCCAGTCATTCAGTGCAGAAATGCAGCTGTTATTCTGCAAGATTTTGAAAATACTCTCTAGAGGTGGGAGTTTATATTTGCTTGTCTGTGATTTAGTGAGCACTCTAGCAGTATAACACCAATGAATCTCCAAAAAAGCAGTTTTAAAATACCAGACCTGCAAGAGTTTCTGTAGCAAAGGGAACCTGAGTCAGCCTGTCCTAGCTTACATTTCCTTCTGGAAGCACTTGTGTAGTCCTGGCACTTGGACGTGCTCAGTCTCACGCTGCTTCGTTGTGTGCCTGGGCTGCTTTAACAGCTCTTGTCCACACTGTGGAGCTCACTGCTCAAAGGATGGGAGGATGGCACTCTCAGACATCTGGTGTGATGAAGATGGCACAAAAGTGCTTAATTCTCATGAAGTACTTAAATAAAAGGTTTAACTTGCTCTGTTTTGGTCTAGAACTGCTTTACCTTATTCCTCTTGTGTCAGCATGTTTGGAGAAGGAATTGTATTTGGAGGAGTGGGAGGGTGGAGGATTGTTCTATGGACAGCCAAAAGCTCAGGTCAGTGAAAAGGGTACAAAACCAGAATGTATTTCCATTAAGCTGTTGAAGTCTCCTGAGACTATATATATTTCAGGTTGTATTATCCTGTGACAGACTGTACTGGCTCTCAAATCTTCTTGGGGACCAAAGCCACTTTCTGCACTTTTGTTCCCATCACTGAGCACATCTCTAACAGATTGAATCACACTGAGCTCTGGCACCTGACATTGCTGGAACCAACAAAGCCAATTTTGACAGTATTGTGCTGAATGCTTAGTTGGGCTCCTGGGAGGTTTATCTAAGCTGTCTAGGCAGTGTACATATTCCTGAAACAATTCTCTGATTTCTGAAATTTTAACCATTTTAAAGTATTACTGTGAATATATACAGCTTATGCTGGCATAAAGCACCATTTAGCAGCTGATGTGAACTCTCCTGTTGCTAGCAAACTTCCTTCTACTTACACACTGAGTAGAGAAAAATGCAGGGATAGCAAGGATACACAGACTACAAGCATTTTACGTAAAGCATTTTTGAATGGAGAATTGTGGCAATAATAATATTCAGCAATAAAACCTTTGAAGAGAAGCAAGGAAACCTCCAAGGGAATTACTAGTAAGAGGAATAGAGTTGCTTTGTAGTCCAGATGCAAGATTGGTGTAGACTTCATCTGGGTTGATGGTTGTCCTGGCCAAAATGGTGGGTGGTTTTAGGCTGTCTTGAGTTAAGAGACACAAGCTTTGCTAAGCTCTATGGCTTACACATGAAGAGGATGAAAATGGAATAGGAGAAAGGAACGAAGGAGGGCCATAGGTTTTCATACCAGTGTCTTGTGCTATGAGCTATGTTTAACATAAACTCCCACTGCTATGCATTTAATTCCTTCCAAAAGAAATCTTCTATTCTCTACTTACTGTGCAGAGGACCTTTGGCTGATAAATTTGCCTGCCATACCACGAGTAACATTATTACCAAATCAAGGTTATTTGTGGAAGTTTTTGCTGTTTCTCCAAGAAATGTACACCCTAGGTTACTCAAGATACTTGAATGGTCATCATTTGTTCAAAACAAGACCTGAACCCCAGCTCTCTTTTGTCTTAGGTTGCTACACCTCTACTTTAAAGGAATGGCAATTTGTAGAATACTTAAATTTGTGCTAAGGTGCCAACTTGTAGTCTTAATGCTTTCAGGAATTAAAGATCTAATCAATAATGTAGGATGTGTATTTTCATCTTAAAGAAGTGGCTTTGGTTTTTCTAAATAAAAAAATACAAATATTGCAGTAGTGGCTGCAATTTAATTCTCTTTACTTGAATAGCAAATGTTGACTCTTAATCTAAAATAGACAATATGCTGTTCATGGACTGTTAAAACTTTGTCACAACACTAAAAGAAAACAAAAAGACTTTATGACTTCAGTACCTACGTTTTTAATCCCCTCCAAAGTAATTCTTTTTTTCTTTTGTCATTGAGTCATTTTTGCTTGGAACTGATTGTAACTTTTCTGTTAATCTTCTTTTTTTTTCTTAGCATGCTTTTATGAAAGCATTTGTTTGAGTATTGTGACAGCATACTGTACTTGAAAAATTGCAATGCAGACTGGTGATTTGGATGGCCACTGGGTAATTTTGTTCATTTCCTCTTAGCTTTTGTAAAATATGTCTTTTTTGATCTTAGCTTTGCTTACTGGGCCAGTTGAGCCACTTCTCCTTAGTGCTTCTTGCAGGATCAGAAAATTCACTAAACATAGTGAATGTTGTCCTCAGGTCAGTATTATAATCTACTCAGTAACATCTTCTGAAAGCAAACTAAAGCTGAAATAAAATGAAATCCCTGTACAGATACCACTATCAAAATATCAGACTGTTTTTGTAAGACATTTTTGAGATTATTTTGTCAACAAACTGTTAAATCTTCAAATATCAGAATAACTTTCTGAACAGAACGTCTGGTAGAACAGGAGATGCTTCAGCAAAATGGTGCTCCTATGGTACACTGCCTCCCAAAGGGTGTAGATGGTCTGTAGAGAAATACAAAGTTTCTTGGAAGAAAATTCTACTGTGAAAAGAGATCTTCTTTACATAAAGAAGAAGAAAGGTAAGGCTTCCTTCTTTTCAGTCACTATGAAAATAAAATTTAAGGGTATTTCCTGCAGAAGGTGGGAGAAATAATTGTTGGCCCAGACAAGCCCTTGACAATGCATTAGTTGCTTCTAAGATGGAGGAAGAGATAAACTGCCGTCAGCAGATTTAACATCTAAAAGCTGTGTCTGGCTCCTGGTGGATAAAATAATTATAAATTATGCTGTGCCTTCATGCAAAATTGTGCTTTATGCAAATAAACACTTGAAAATTGAGCTAAACCTTGAGATGGCATTGTCACGGTACATATCTTTTGCTTTCCTATCTTTTAAAAATACCTTTTTTAAAAACAAATGCAGAAAGATTACATATTTTTAATCTTCATGGCTCATTTATGAAATTCCCAAATGCTTCAATTCCATCCAAAAATGCTCTGGTTTACCAGAGATGGTTCAATATATTGTGGTGTTAACATTTATCTGATACTACTGTGAGGTAAGATCAATAGTGTTTTACAGTGGGTTGAAGAAGAGGTAGTATTTTTTA